ATGGGAGTCTCTCTTCTGATAAACAAATTGGCAAACAGTGACCAGATAACACTGCTATACCTTGAGGCAGACATCTGAGGCAGCCCTGGCAGATGGATGGATGCCCTATGCCTAAGCCTTGGTCTACCAGTTAGCAGCACTTTGACCTCAGTGAGCTCTGAGCATCACCTCCTCTGCAGCACAGGGAAGTGACTGTAGTTAATTTGAAAATATCCTTCTTGCTTAATAGACTATGAACACCAAACCAGTTCCTTGTACATTAGCAAATCTATCCCTGCTGCTTTACAGTGTGCTTGGTTCACAGGGAGTGCACTGTTGAAGGATCTGAAGTGCTGTGGACATTTCTTTACATTCTCTGATCATTTGCTTATACTCTAAAGCCCTCCCTTAACTTCATCATTCTTCATGCCTATGCCTTGCATTCTTGCATTCCATTGACGCGCACTTTGGTAAGTCTCCTAGCTGGGATTCCTACTTCCAGCCCCCACATTCCTGTCAGAGTTATCTCTAGAATGTGAATTTGATTGCATTCCTCCCCCACTCCCTGAAGCTTTCCAACCAGGAGCCTCAGTAGGCTAAAGGCCAAGCCCATGAACTTGGCATAGAAGGCCTTTAATTCTTGGGCCTCCAGAGTCCTCTTATCAATCCAGTGACTTCCTTCACACTGCACCAATCATTTTCAGGTCATCTTGAGTTCTCCAAATGTGTCAGTAGATGTTTATTATTTTAGCTAATGGGCATATTTTCAAGGCTGTCATAAAAAGTAAAATACAGCCAGGCAGTAGTGGTGCATGCCTTTAATGCCAGCACTTGGGAGGCAGAGGCAGGCAGACCTCTGTGAGTTTGAGGCCAGTCTAGTCTACAAAGTAGGTTCCAAGAAAGGCTCCAAAGCTACATTGAGAAACCCTGTCTCGAAAAAAACCAAAAAAAAAAAAAAGAGAGAGAGAGAGAGAGAATTTCTTAACCTATACATAATTGATCAGTCACTGTTACCATTATTATGAACATCTTGTTGTGCACAGATCGTGACCCCCAGAGAGACCACCAAAGACGAGCATGCCGGAATGCAAAAGCAAGGTTTAATTCTGGATATCCAAAAGCAATACAAGCCTAGGCAGGGACTTCGTCCAATACATCCAACGCAGTGGAGGCTGGAGGAAGCGCCCACCTGTCTGCAAGCTCAGTTTTTAAAGGGAAAAGTCACAAGGTTACATCATTTAGGGGTGCTAGTACGGGTACAATTCTGATTGGCTCGCTTCTAGGGACTTCTAGAAATTACTTCTAAGGGAGTGATTGCCCGCCACCATTTCTCATTGGCTGCCCTCAGGTGGGGGCATTTCTGTGGTCAGTTACCCTGGAAACCAGGGAGAGGACATTCCATAGTCTGGCAGGCATTACCTTGTGACTATCTTGTGACTCTGTACTTCTACACTTCCTGGTTTCTGGAATCTGAACTGACTGGTTTCAGTAGCTAATGGCCTATTCCTAAAAGGAGAAATCTTAGGCCTTAGTTTTAGGGTGAAAGCATTTTGGTCTTATTTCTAAGATGGCTCATTTTGGTCTCACAATCTGAGCATTGCCAGAGTAACCCACAAAAAATTTTTAAAAAAGTAAAAATACAGTGAAAAATACAGAAACATAATAAATTATAAATCAGTCTATTAGCCATTCAATTATCTATTTATATTATAAATGTTCAGTCCTGCTTGTATAATTAGTTTGAGTTGCCCTAACAATGTCATAGACTGAGTAGCTTAAAAACAATGACTCAGTGCCAGCCCTACATCATTACTTAAGGCCACTGTGACATCTCACTAGCAGCCAATGCAGCACATTTCCACTATGGCAGTGGTCAGTTGTGTGTATGCTCCGTACTCCCCTATAAAGTCTGAGCCATCACAGTCCTCTCACTCTCTCTTATCCCCCACTCAGAGGTGGCCTTTGGTGTGCTCATTCCCAATAAACCTCTTGCTGTGGGGTCTGTTTCATGGTGTGATCTTTTCAGCATTCCTTGGCCCAGCAATCACTGCAAAAACACACTCCCCCCAAGGTGGGTTCAAGAGGTCAGTGTTGGACATGGGGAAGAAAAGGCTTTTATAGTTTGGGGTAGGGGGTTTCCAAATGTGGGATTTGGCTGACAGATTGGCAGAATTTAACAAAGTGGTTATAACAACAGGTGGTCATAACAACTTTCTGAAAGAAAAGCAGGGTTGCAAGATGGTCATAACAACTTTTTGTTTGTTTGTTTTGTTTTTTGTTTTTCGAGACAGGGTTTCTCTTTGTAGCTTTGTGCCTTTCCTGGAATTCACTCTATAGCCCAATCTAGCCTCGAACTCACAAAAATCTGCCTGTCTCTGCTTCCCAAGTGCTGGGATTAAAGGCGTGTGCCACCACCGTCCAGCCATAACAACTTTTTGAAACAAAGACTTGATTGCTGTTTCCTGGAACAGGCAGTACAGAACCTGTTAAGGTTACAGGTGGGGCATAGCCCAATCTTTTAAGAAACAGAGATTTAATCACAAACAAGAATGAACCCAGTTTGCCTTTAGTATAAGACAGCTTTCAAGCCAAAGATGGAGGCAGGCTGGTTATCACCTCCTGTGGTCCTGTCTCTAAAAGTCATCTGTACATTGGGCTAGGGGACATAATATAATTCATAGCACTCAGTAGGGGTTGTCAACAGTTTTGTGACTTGTAATGGTGTATCCAACATCCTGCTTAGTACAGCAGGATAACAGGAATTTCATGTTCAAGGAAGGCATTCTACATTTAAAAAAAAAAAAACATTTAGTTAGAGTAGAAATCAAAAAAGTAGAAAGTTGAAAAGTGATGAGAAATTAGAAAGAAAAGACAGTCAAAAGTTTATTTTGGGGGTGGCTCTGTATTTGCCAATGAAAATAAGAATTTTATCTCACAAATGATGAAGATGGTATGGGAACTGATATTCACCCACAGGTTTGGCCATTAGTTTTAGGAGCTACTAAGATATTCATTTTACTGATCTTATGTATGAGAATTCATGTTAAGAGAATGATCCAAAAGTCAAGAGAGGTAAGTGTATACAGATATGGTTTATATTATGATAATAATAGTATCTGTACATTATTTATAATCAATATTATTGACTATATTTAGTATGTTGTTTAATATAATTATAATACTATTTATGATAAACCTGGAAGTAATTCACAGAGGAATAATCAAACAGATGTTAAGTAAGGTTTGTTAGATGGACCAACACTTATTTTTATAATTTAAAGCAATTAAAAGTAATAGGAAAGAGCTGGCTCAGTAGTTAAGAGCATGTACTAGTCTGGCAGAAGATCCAAGTTCAGTTCTCAGTGCCCCTGTTAAGTGGCTCACATATAACTACAGCTGCAGAGGTTTTGTTATCCTCTTTTGGACTCCATGGGCCCCTGCACTTATGTATGTATACAAACTCACACACACACATACACAAATAATTTTAAAAAATAGTAAAAAATAAGTCTTAAGTATATGGTGATGATAACTGAAAAATCTTTGAATAAACAAAACGTAAAGCTACAGTCTGCTACACACAGCCTTGTAATCATATAAACACAATGCCAAAGTTACACAGAACTAGAGGACAGTAAGAATTAAAGAGATTACAGACTATTTGTCAGGTAATGAAATGATATTTCACCAGCATATTATATTTAAAAGACACTGGCAGTTTCAAAATAAAAAACCGGCCAATCAAAGGTGATCTAGCTGCAGCTACGGCTTCACAACACAGCCTTTGTCTGGTGTTGGCCTGAATAAACACTTGGTTTTCAGTGACACAAGTAAAGTGACAAAATATTTGGGTCAATATAGTGGAAGGACGTGTTTGTTTCATAATCAAGTGGAGAACAATGGTGGCTAGGAGAAGCACTCGTGAAGGAGGAAGCAGACCTGAGCTGTTAACTGAACTAAATGCTCCAGTCAAAGGTACCCATTCTAGTGTGAGGCAGCGAAGCCGTATGAAAGACCAAGCTGAAGGGACCCTCAGCAGGGAGGACAGCATTCATACCCAGCTTCTTCTCACTTGTAGCACATGCAGAAAAGCATGAGAACTAGATGTTGACAAGTTTTGACATTACTGGAATTCACTCGGATACATTTTGTTTAGCAGTGAGTTTGTGGAAGGCTCGGGGGAGAAGAGATGACAGAGGTTAAAAGGTGTCAGTTTCCAGGTCAAGGACATGCACTCACCATCTGACATAATGAAGTCCCAGTCTTGAGAGTCAAGCAGACCCGCTATCAAACACAGACAAAACTCTGCATCTTGGTTGTGCAGAGTTTGTGTCCTGAGTAAGTCACTCAGTCTTGCTCTGTACCAGCTTTCTCCTATCCAAAGTGTGTGCTAGGGCTCAAATGAGTTAGTTGCCTGTGGTGGTTGCTGCCCAGTGTCTGTCCCTTTACCATCCCTCTTCACAGCAGCCTCAGAATGCTGTATCTGTCTAACCCTCAGACCACACTCCAGGACATGGGCCTTTCTTCAGAGAAGAAAGCTGCAACGGAACCTCCATTATGGTCGACACAGGTAGACTGAGAGCAAGGCCAGAGCCATGGGAAGGAGAGAATGGAGAACTGAGGTCTTAAGAGACATCCAAGGAGGCCAGAGAATGAAGAACTGAGGTCTTCAGAGACATTCAGGAAGGCCAAGAATCAGACAACATCTATTGATGGTCAGCCAATCAATCAAAACTGTTGATTACTATTAAAAACACCACACTATTATGAACACCAAATATGGGTTCCCTGTTGGATTTTCTATGTAAAAAGAATTAGATAAATGTAGCATTTATTAGATAATAGGTGCACAGCTTGAAGGGGGTACACTCACTCAGTGAAGCCCTGCCCTCCACAGGCAATCAGTCAGATGTAACTGGTGAACATCTTCATGTCCAAATACTCCTTTTAAAAAAGGGTATGTTGTTTCACATGCATTTAAATGACATGCCACTGCTCTCTAAACCTGACTCTGCTTTTACCTTGCTTTTCACTCTGCTTCCCAGTCCACGGTCCAGGTTGCACGCTGTCCGCTCTTTCCAGTGCTGCATGGCCTGGCAGGGCCCAAACTCACTTTACATGTCCATCACTGACGCTTTAGCACGGGAGATGTGGAACTCCGTGAGCACTGCCCATTGGAAGGCAGACTGGCAAAGCCAACCTGGAGAAGAATCAGAACACTTGATCACATTCCAGGCTCACATTCTGTGGTATGTGTTTGTATCATGTGTTTAGGAAATCCAAGACCTAGAGATAGGCAGGCAGTCTGTGGGAACTAGATATAAAACTTCAGGGAGCCAACATCCACTTTCATGTATTTCTCAAGAAGGATTATACATACTCCATTTAAAATATCAAATTATATGAACTTAAATAACTGCTAGCTTTCCACTACTATGACAAAATACCTGAGATAAACAATTTCAAAAGAGGAAATATTTAATGTGACTCACCGCATCAGAGAGTTCAGCCCATAGTCACTTGGCTCTGTAGTTTCTTGGCCTATGTTGGGGCAAAGCAACATGGTGGAGAGAATGCATAGAACCTGGGGGGAAGGTACACCTGGACACTAAATACATTCTTCAAGGACCTGTCCCAAATAACCTACTTCCTCTATGAGGTGCCACCTCCCAAATTTCTACCCCCTCTTAATAGCTCATCAGGCTATGAATTCATTTATCAGTTAATCTGCTGATGATGTCAGAGCCCTTATGATCCAATCAACTGTCTGAACACTGCTGTGGTGAAAATGAAGCCTTGAGTACATGAGACTTAAGGAGTTGTTTTAGATCCAAACCATACCGATGTATACTAAGAACAAATGTAGTAATCATGATGCATTGCTTCCTAGATCCTAGTTCCTAGCTCTGACTATTGTCTCCTGGGCTGACTGAGGCCCAGTGCATCTCATGGGTGGAAATGTTATGACCCTGTCACTCATTGCTTCGCAGTTCTGTGCTCAGGGACATCCCACCGGTAGCCTGAAATAAACCACCAAGGGAAGGAACTATACTGTAGAAATTAGCACACCCTATAAATTTGGGTTTTCTTGCTATAAACATTTACCAGTTCACCAGAGACCAGCATTAACTCTGCTTTGCAAATGGAATAACAGAGCTCCAGCAGCTTAGACACCTGCCAAATATAAGACAATCTGAAACTAGAAGAAATTGGATTCAGCCTCAGGACTACCTCAGATCTTATGCTTTACTTGGATGAAAATGAGTTAGATTGTTAAAACTAAAAGTCTCCTGTCTTTATCACCACCATTGACTGTATTTAGTTTTTTGTTAAAAAAAAAAAAATCTGTTGTCTGCTAGCACTCGAGTCCAGTGTGAGTCAAGGAATGGCACAGTTTTGAGAAACTTCTGATCACCTATTGCGCTTCATTAGTTCCTCATGAATGAGCTTTGTTCTGAGATGTGGGTGCTGTTGCTAACAGCATGTATGAGAAAAGAATAAGCACAGCTTTTAGCTGGGCACCACAAGGTTACACAGAGTAACTACTGTACATGACAGCCAAGGTATTTTAGGTATTGTTAAAGCATAAAGACCTCTTAATACATGCGTCCATTTGCAGGCTGGAGGCTCTGATTGTGTCTGTTTGTGCCACAACTCCCATGTTTGTTTAGACCAGAGTTATTCCCTATTTTTTACTTGAAATTTAGCCACAGTTTATACTAATTGTCAAATATCACCTCTTTTTTTACCCCTTCAGTCACCTATAAACATTTATAATGTGCCCATTTTAGAATCAATAATTTTGATAAGATTAGTTCTAATGTGACTTCTTTACTCAAATATTTTATGAATCAAATACTTTCTAATATAGAAATATGAGCCAAACATAATTTTATATTCTTACTAGTCCCCAGCCTCCTAGACTCCTAACGTGATAAAATACAAGGCTAGACTAAATGAGGGTAGACAGGTATGAAACTATCAGATTTCCTAGGCCGACATTTTTTTAAAAAGCTATTTCTAAAAAGAGAAGACTGAAATGTTTGTAAGGACTACCAAGCTCCTCCTCTCATGGCCTTGTGGCTCATCATGATTCATCATTTCTCCATCCTTAGTCCCAGGGAATTCCAATTATTTAACTTTTTATATACTAAACCCAGTTATGTTCATCTCCTCTATTCTTCAAAAACAAGCAGACATTTGGGTATTATATGGATGTTTGATGCTACTTGTCATGACTCATTTTATTAATTTAACCATGCTATCTTCCAAAGACCCCAGGCTGTAGGCCACTACTAGTCCATAGAAGAACTAAGAAATGGAGGCTCCACCATGGCTGGGATTCCAACAGTTTATACTCATTGTCAAATATCACCTTTTTTTTTTTTTTTAAAAAAAAAAAAAACCCTTCAGTCACCTATAAACATTTATAATGTGCCCATTTTAGAATCAATAATTTTGATACTGGTTCCAAGTACTATGTTTCTTCCCAGGACACGATAGCTAGTACTCAGGAGCCATGTGCTCCATAGAACACTAGATAACTCCCTAGAGCTTCTGCCTTCCAATTCAACCAATAGGGGGCTTTCCTTCACTCATTCCTCCCTTGGTCCCATACTCCCAATGGTCATAGAATTTCGCTTCAGTGACATGTTCTACCATGAATATGATTTTGCAATGTTGGATTATTCTCCTCCTTTCTTTTCTTATTTCAACTACTCCCAGTGAAATTTTCACATGTCTGGGAACTGAGTTCTTCTTAGAGCACGTCATTAAAATAGTATATTAAAAAGTATCTCATCTCATATTGCTTTGTTTGGGCATTTTTGTCTTACTGGTCTTTTGCTTATATGTTGTACTTTTTTATTTTGTTTTTGAGAGTTTTGTTTCTTGTTTTTATTTATTTTTTTAGTGAATATATCTGAGAGTTTCTTTGTTTGGTTTTATTTTGTTTTGCTTGCCTGTTTGTTTTCTAAAGAGAGGAAAAAAAGGGTATTGAGTTGGGTGGGAAGGGAGGATCTGGGAAGAGTTGTGGGAGGGGGAAGTGTGATCATAATATAATGTATGATTTTTTTCAATGAAAAAATTAAAATAAATTTAAAAAGAGACAAAGTAAAAATAAATAAATCTATTTAGTAATATTTTAAAAGTACAAAGTTTCTAAACAAGACTATAATTTTCCAAAGAGCATTTGTACTTTTCAAATCCTATCCTAATAAAAACAGGTTCCTATACACTTTAGTTCCCTTTTTAATGGTAATAATCAAACACAGTCCGTTAGACAGGCATTGTTAACTAGACTGACAAAAGAAAAATTTAGACATAAAAATGTCCTATTTCCTGGGCTGCTCTGGACATAAGTGACAATAATGACTTAACCTATTGACCTCTAAGCCTGAATTTCTTTGTTGAAAAACTAAGATCTTCCTTTCTCTGGTAAGAGCCATGGAGTGGAAAGAAAATAACAACAAAACAAGCATACAAACACACCTCATTCCCCAAGCAAAGGCATCTTGTGGAATCCTGAGTGGAATGGCAAGTTAGTCAGTAAGAATCACATTAACATAGGTATAGAAAGAAAAACAGTTGGCAGGTGGCAGCAAGTCATACAGCAGTGACTGGCTGCAAATGTCCTGACAGTAGCCGCATTTCATCGTGCTCTATTAGGGACTGACATCATTTTGAATCAATAATTCAGGAGCCTAATGGGCTATCTCCCTATGAGTCATTGGTCAAGGAGGCCCCAGAGGTACCCAAAACAAAGGCTTTTTGCTGTTTTTCTTCACCGCCCATCGTAACTACATAGTAAGACCCTATTGCTGAAGACAACACATACTTTAGATGGAAGACATGGAAAAATCAACCCGAACTGACCAGGCAACTCTCTCCCCTTCATGGCTAGCTTATATAGTACCAGAAGGTGTTATACAGTCTGCCAGGGAAGAAAATATATCAATCTTCTCACCTGCACTGGAACCTGCATACTGACTTTCTGGAAAAGATCTGCCCACTGGTGCCGCAGTGGCATGATGGCTATGGGGGTAACCAACTTCTTTCTGACTGGATATGAGGCCTGATCCATAAGAGGGATTTCATGCATAGTACTGTCAGACTGTGGAGACCACAGGCTCTAAGGGAACTTCTGTTGTTATTACAAATACTTTGTTAATATTCACAGATTTGTGTTACTCTCAACTTCAGTCCCATAACCTTTTTGCATGGAGTGGCAGTTAATGCACGGATTCTTATCTGGCCAAAGTGCCAAATGACAGTAACTGCTCAGCTGTGGATGAATCATCTGTATTAACTTCTGCCCATCCAAGGTTCTGGTAGCATTTTGGAAGAATGGGCAGAAAGAATACAAGAGCTAACAGATGAGAAGGAGATATTTCAGGACATGGTTGTTGCACACATCAATTCACAGGACCTGTGGCTACCTGTCCAAGATTTGCACATGATCAAGCTAGTAAAAATCTCAGCATAAATGAGGGAGGGGCCCTCAAGAATATACCCTCAGTAGAGAGCTATTAATGGTTCATAGTTGCTGAGGAGGAAGAGCCACTCTCCCTTGGGACCATGTCTGATGGTAGGTTGTCCATGCCTCCTGTGCATGGGCCCATACACATGGAGTAATTGGACTCTAAGGGTTATTGACAACAAAAAGAGGACATAAAATTAGGTGGGTGACAGAGTGGGAGCTGGAGGGAAGTAAAGGTAGATGGATGTGATCAAAACATATTATGCAAATGTATGAAGAATTGAAATAATAAAGTATTAATTTTAAAAAGAACTCAGGAGCCTAGTGAGCAGAGAGTCATACAAATTCTCACAAGTGTCCCCTCACCATTGACAAATGCATGCTCAAATTTCTCTGTAGGCAGAAGCAGGAAGATTGAGGTCTGTGATTGGTCCTTGCTCTGCATGGTTATATTTGCATATTACAATGATCACAGGCATCTTGATTTTAATCCTTTTTGTCCTTGTTTCTGCCAGGTGTGTTGTTACAGTGAGAACAAAACTACTATAGAAAATTATTATAGGAATGGGGTCATGGCAGTGACTAAACCTGACCATATAGTTTTTAGGCTTTTGGAATTGGTTTGTAGGAAGAATTTTGAAGAGTTTCAACAAGTAGGTTAAAGAACATCTAAAATCCTCCATGAAGAGATCAATAGATGATTCTACTAAAAACTAAGATAACCAGAAAGCTGACAAAAATGTGGACAGTAAATACTGTGCTCCTGAGGTTTCAGATGAAGTTCTAACAGGAATTGGGCTATAGGTCATTTATGTTACAATTTGACAAAGAATTTATCTACATTTTGTCCATGTTCTGAAGATTTATAGAAGGCTGAGTTTAAAGGTGACAAACTAATTAGTATAATTTGTCAGAGAAAATTTCATAATTCAAGGGGAAGCATAGTTACTCCTGGTTGCTATTAGCCAGATTTGTAGTAAGAATCTGGGGCAAAAAGCAGAATAGATTTTTTTTTTAAACTTGTGGTCTTTAGTGAAAAGGACTAAACTATAAGTTGTTGAGAAGGAGGGCATGACTATTAAAGAGATTAGTGCCATTACAAAGAAGCAAAGCACTTTGCTTTGAGATCATCTCAGGAATTGGGAAAATCCTATTGAAGGATCTAGGGTGTAAAATTGTAAACTCATTTGGCAGATTTTTTTCTAACTAAAAGAGAATGTTCAGGGACTCCTACTCACAGAGGACCACCTAAAAAAATGATTTCTCGGGTTTAGTCACCCAGGAGGCTGTGGCAAGCATGACCCAAGGAGGTCTGGCTATGACTCAAGCTAGTAAAAGACCTTGGCATCATCCATGTGGTGCTGGGTTTTCAAACATATGAGATGTGTAGACGAATTTCTAAAGTCATATTAAATAAGAAACACAGAGTCAAATACAGAGTTAAAGCAAAAGAGATCAGAGCAAGAGCCACCTAGCTTTAGCTTACCACCAGAAGTAGCTTCCCCCAAGACAGAGACCTTCTAATGTCTGACGTGTTTTTATTGCTTTCCTGTTCTGCTTTCTCATTGGCTCTAGGCCCAGCCACATGACTTCCTCGTCACTGCCTGTCTATACAGACCTCCTGGTCTCTATGGTTGGTACTGGGATTAAAGGTTCGTGTCACCACACTTGGCTGTGTCCTTAACCACACAGAGACTCTGCCTGCCATGTGATTGGATTAAGGGTGCGGGCTACCACTGCCTGACTGCTGTCCATGGCTCGCTATGACCTCTGATCTCCAGGCAAACTTTATTTAACATACAAATGAAATCACATTTCAGCACAATTAAAATATTACCACAGAGATGTAAGCAATACTGATTTGTTCTATAACACTTTTGCTGAGATTTTAAAGAAAGGTCTAAAACGCAGGCAATGCATATCGTGTATGGGTTCCCTACATGGACTCTTGAGAGGGCAACACATGAAGCTGTGGAAGTGAACCCTGAGATGCAGTAGAGACTTTGGATTACTGGGAATGCCAGGAATATAGAGCATATGCTGAGGTAAGCAATAGAGAATGAATGGGACTAGTCCAAGTGAGAGACAATGTGGGTGGCAAATGACAAGGCAGGGATAATGACATCTTTAAAGTTTATCGTGTCATTATGTTTCACAGACATAGTATTTTAAAGCAAGGTCCTGAAGGATGCACAGTGTGAACCAGCTTTGGAGCTGCTGTAAAGAATCCCGGGAAGGCAATGCATGAAGCTATGAGGGTTAAACCTAAGCTGCAGTGGAAGAATGCAGCAATCTGATTTAAAGGCTGCCCTTGCTGAGTTTTGCTCCTGATTTGGTCTCATTCCCACCCCCTTTGCTACCATTTCACTTTCTGGTGGTGAAGCTGTCTAAACTGTGCCATTATATATTGGAAGTACCTAATTTAAAAATACTTAATTTTACAAAATCAGCTAAAAGTTGCATTCCTTCTCAGAGGAACCTTTGGACTTTTGAACAGTCAATATTATTGACTGTTCACTATTGGCAGTCGGAGTCTTTTTAATTGGGTTCATTTTGCACTATGAAATAGATACAAGGCTTTGAGTAGTGGGGGTAGAACATTGTGGGTTAAAGTGATGTACTTGGGTGTCAGGTTGAATTTGTGATGATTCACGTTCATTGTCAACTAGACAAGATTAAGTACCACTTAGAAAGATTGGTGAGGCAAACCCATCCCTGTGTCTGTGAGCATGCTTCCACAGATGATTAGCTAAGGGGAGACGACTCATACTGAGAATGGCACCATCACAGGAGCTATGATCCTGGATAGAATAAAAGGAAAAGAAGAAAGCAAGCCTAGTACAGGCATTTCTCTTTTTCTTGCTTTCGGTCAACGATGAAGTGAAGAATACCTCTATACAATCTTTCTGCCGCTATGTTAAGGCTAAGCATATGGGGCCAGACAACAGCAGACTAAATTGGCTGAAATCATGAGCCAAAAGGAAATGCTTCCTCTCATAAACTCAGTGGGTCTTTTGTCTTAGGAAAAGTAAAGCAAACTGTGTAGCCAATGAATAGTAGAGCCAAGATTTAAATGCATCTCTGAATCCTTTGTGCAGTTCTACAGAGTGGAAACTCTTATTTGAACTATTTACCAATTCTTGAAAGTTGAATTGCTGCCATCTCCAGGTGCAAAGGGTCAGATGCAATATGTAATCAACATCCCATTTAGGTAATTGGGTGGCCTCTTCAAGGGATGAAGTCATACTAATGGCTAAGTATTGGTCTCTGCCACAGGCATTTTCTAGCCTTTGATAAAGGGAACCCAGGCATAGCTACCACTCTTGTTACCAGGGACACTATGCAACATCACCATGGTAGCTGAGGAAGAAGTTGGCTGCTATCTTAAAGATCCATCCTTTGGTTCTTGAGCATGTCTTTGGTATATACCTGTGTCAAACAATATTGGACACAGCAATCCTCTTTGAATTTACTCCCAGAGGGCCGTCTCTTGGGCTTTTTCCTAGACATTCTGATCTCTTTCAGTCTTGTCTTTTCTAGGTTCTGGACTGCTACATTGTTCACCACAGCATCAATGACCATATCCTAAGCCACATACTTCATACAGGAGGGACTGATCATACAATAGACAGCTGGGAGGGTTCTTCATAACCACTGTTTTTTATTTACAGAGAGCAATAGTGTGATAGCAGTATTTTCATGGGAAGCTAACATGTTTTCTTCTTATATTGCTTGGTTGCAGAGAGGTAGAAATAGAACTTAGAATAAACAGTCTCCAATGAAGGGCCTACATCAAGTTGGCAGGATCTTCATGCAGGTAAGACTTTTCTCTAGGAAGCAAGTAGATATTGCTGCAGCTTCTGGTGTTCTAAGGAAGCAGGAGTCAACATCCCGAGTATCAGGTTCTACTATTTCTTTATCTACATCCTGACCATGACAGTTCTTCTGGTTAACTGTTAGGTTCTCAGTTGGAAACCTGTGATGAGTTCCAGCAGCCTCTGTGTCAGAGGGTAGGCAGGAATCGCTATTGTAACTGGGGGTGCTTTCAGTATTCTTTGAGGTCAACAGTTGGCAAACCTCAGTCTGCCATTTTATTTCCTTCTTTAAAACTTCTAAAGATCATAAACCACAGTCAGATGCTTCTATATTCCTTAAAATTAACACTGACAGTACAGTGCAAGTGTTTCCAAGAGCACATAAGCCCGGGTCTTATTTTAGACCTTCTTCATTCAGTTCACCACCAGTGAAAAACTCATTAATTGTAATACTACTGCATGTGAGTGGGAATTTCCACCACTCCACTTTTTAAATGCAATAAGGTCATCATCACTCTCTGATTAGTCCAATATGGACTCTTGATGAAAAATTCTGTTTGTTGCCTATTTGTAGCAGCAGATGTCTCACCCAAAGAAGCATGACTGAGAAAGGTATGTGCAAGCAATAATTTATTTTGGAATCTAGTCCCAGCAAAAAATCATAATAGGTAAAAAGGGCAACCGAGACTCTGGGTAACTGACTGAGCTGATCACTGCTAAGAGGGACTTCTACTGGAGGCCCTAGGGTTGTATCTATATTGCCAGAAAATTACTTGTATAGTTTGAAGCATGGTGTGATTTCTATTGCTACTGTTAGATACATTGGGTGACTTGCATAGTTCTAGATTTCCTTGGTCATTCATTTGACTTGAAATTTAGCTAAATAGATTTATTTAACTAGTTTATTTCTGGCTCCCCTTTGTTCTGAACATGTTAACTGTTGAGCCAAAGTAGGAATTTTCAAGGAGGGTAGAGACTTCCTATGATTTTTCCTTTGTCATCTGTCTCTTTAGCTCTAGCATACAAGAAGTGACAGCTCTCTCTTTAGCTTGCAAGTGCCACCAACACGAAGAGGTGGTAAATGCTGGTCGTCTTGTTCAAATTTTGCACCTTTCCTCAGATCCCATATAGCATTTTCCATCTCATTCTTTTCTCTTTTTTTGGTTTAACCATTATTTAGTAGTTTTTAGTTTTTTTTTTTTTTTTTTTTTTTTAATGAGATGCTTGATCTAAATGGAGTATTTCGGTACCCCAAAGAGAAAAATCTTGTGATTGTTTTCTCTAAGGCCTATAAATGTGCAAAAATTATAGCTAGACTAAGGAACAATTCTTTACATTCATAAAGAAACTGTACATTAAATATGCATGTTCAATATTAAAGGCAACATAGACAGGTTCAATATTAAAGGCAACATAGACAGATTTTTAAATCACTATAAAATAGTCTGGAAGAAAGATGAAGGATGCTAGGTTTTAAGATTCAACTGTTTCTGCCATCTTCAGCACTACTTGAAGTAGCAAGAGCTGTAACACTGAAAGCAGTATGCTTAAATTTATTTTCATGAGTAACAATGTTGATCAAATGTTTCACCAACCCTTCTTTGCTGCTGATAGTTCATGTTTCAGAAATCCTCACTCAGAATCAAGTTCCTCTGTCCACATATCCTCTCTCTTGACTCACTGAAGAGGGTTATGGGATTCTATAGTGCTGGATTTGGATAAGAAAAACTTAAGAGATGTAGACAGTCTGATCCCAGGTTCTGTAATCCAAATCAAATATTCTTCCTGTTCTGCCATTTCATCTGGTGAGTTTGGGCAAATCATCTGAAAGTCATCCTTCTTCCCTTTGCTGTTTTCTTAAAGTTAAACGAGAAAATTTAAAAAAGTATATCTCTACAGTTCTCCTCCAGGCTCTGGCATCTCTAGAAAACAAATGGGCTTAGGTAACTGATGAACCTACAAACTTAGTAAGAGGTCTCAGTGAGGGCTGGCAGCCTCCAGCCCCATCAGTGTTGGGTTTCTAATCTGCTTTTCTATACTGTGCTGAAGACCACTGTCATATAATTTAGAATGAATAATGATGCTCTAACCACTTTCTTATGTTCCCAGTGCTCATCTGTGGAATCATTCAAGATGTAGATTGATACCAGAGGATATGGTGACAATTATGAACACCTAATAAATTTCATGCCTTAGAAAGCTTTCCTCAAGAGAAAAAACAACAGCATATTGAAGAGTGAAACCCTCTTCCTTAGGGGGAAAAAAGCACACATTCTCACTTGTGGATGCAATGGGAACATTATGTGAAATCAGCAATTCTAGATTTAGTTGAAAGCCATATGACTTTGGGTAAGTCACTAACCTAACTAGATTTTAATTTTAGTCAAATGGAGATGAAATACAATGTTTCAAATTCTGTGAAGTCTGCAATGCAATTGATCCCAATGCAAATGATCATCTTTAACTGACATCAATCTGGGTACTGAATACATCAATGGAGGGGCCAGTGGGATGTTTAGTTTTGCTTACCTGCTCCAAAGGAGAATGAATAAGGGAGCTACAGAGGAAATTAACATCTTAGAGTGCTTAAAGTTTCTCACAACATGGTCTTTGGAACACAGAACTATTTTAGAAAAAAATGGAGGCTTAAGTCACATGTACCTGCAATACTCCTTAGCTGTGCCACATGTTGTGTGGGTGGGAAAGTTGCTTAACCTCCCAAGACTATTTCTTCCTCTATAAAATGGTAATTATGAAGATTTCCAAAGGCACTTCATGAAAAAGTAAAGAATGGTGTTTTGGATATATTAGGTATTCAACAAATATAAGTTCCTTTTTCTTTCATGTATAGGAATTGCTAGTTTTGAATTTTGTACTCTTAACTTTTTGGGGGGAAGATTTACCAAGACTCATCAATAGAATTGCTTATAGAAAGGAAAACTTACAGATCCCTTCTTATGACACTGGTCTGTGATCAAATCAGTATCTAGGAACAATAATGTGTCAACTAGGCTAAAAAGAAACTAAACATTGTCTAAGAGAGATTTTGAAAAGTATGTTATGCAACAAATAACACATTAACTGGAACAGCTACCATTCACTGTATTCCTCTTAGTTGATCCCAACCATCATGCAGCACTCAAATGAACAGCACTCTCCTTCCAAGAGTATGGTGAGGTACTTAAAAGAAAAAGAGCAGACAACTATCACTGTGGGCTTTCACATCATCATCACTAGGTCCACAAACAGCCTAAAGGGCTACATCTTCCACCTGAAACCTTAGCACAAATGTTTCTAAAACTTCATAGCTGAGTTGTCATTTGCAAGCTTCATAAAAATTAATTATTAAAGCCCTTTCCATTAGTGTTTTGTTTGGCCTTCATAAAACCATTTTTCTTTTGCAGCTTAACAAATAAAAAAAACCACTGCATTAGCTATAAATATATGGCACCAGATATGGAGGAAAGGTTATGACTCATGCTAGACCATTCCCTATGGCCAGCTCTGCATTCTGGGAAATATGCTGGGTCTACTCTTCACACATAGGCAAATTCAAAACCAGCTGGCCATATGAAAAGGACTTTCTTGTCAGGAACCAACTCTTGTCAGTTCTTCCTACTCACGTAGGTAAAGGTACTGTGTCATTCACTAGGTCAAGAAATCCTTCCTTTCTTCCTTCCTTCCTCCCTCCCTCCTTCATTCTCTCTCCTTCCCTCCCTTCCTTCCTTCATTACTAACCTCCTTACTAACGCATGCTTGACATTAAAGGTAGAATATCAACTAGAAATACACTCCAAACACAACACAATTACAATGTGGGGGAGTCAGACAACAAATAAATAAATAAATATATATATATATAAAATATATATATAATGTATACACACACACACACATATATATATATATATACATATTTCAGTGAACACAGAGGAATGAATGCACAGGAAACTCAGGCAAAGACAACGGAGCAGATTTTTAGAAGATGATTTTTATCAGGGACAATTAAATGCCATCAAATCAGTAACAGTGAAGCAGATCAGGGAGAGCCCTGATTCCCCACCATTTCTCACCTAATGCAAACTCCATTAAAAACTTTCTTCTGTCAATGACAAGGTTCAAGAGCAGCTGTATCTTTCTCTCCCTAAACTTTTCTACTACCCATTCTCAACCCCAGACATATTCAATATGCCTGAACTTGACAGGATTATGACCTCACTGATATGGTAGTAGGTGCCCTTATCTTTGTGAGCTGAGCAGTCAAACCCAACATGCAGAGCCAATGAGCCTATTACCATGCCAAAAGCAATTCTTGTGAAGAACAAGACAGGAGCTGCAGATACCCTGAGATCATGTGCAATGGCTCACTGTGAAAGTGGGAGCCTGCCCATTGTCTCTATGACCTTTCCTCCTCGTGGCTGCAAGGAACTACTCTTGGAATACCTTACCTGGGTATTGGCTCCCTAGTGCTCCGCATATGCCCCCAACTGGGTGTTACTACCTCTTCATGAAGTGAAAGAATTCAAGGTTGAGTAGGTAACACTAGGAGCTGAGAGCCAGTAACCATGCAAGCTGCCAAGACTAATAAGAGAGGAAGGATGGTGGACATTCATTGTGGGAAAATAGCAAACTCGAAGACACTGGGTTACAGGTAGGATGCTTTGGAAGAACTATATATGGCAAGTTTGTTTCAGAGATAAGGATAACAGAAGATGGGCTCCTGCAGTGGTCATCTGTGTTTTTCAGATGCTGCTAGGGAGGGAGATCAAGAAAAGTAGTTAGTTGACATGTATATTTATGTGCCATATTTATTGGGGGTTGGCAAAATGGTGCTTTTGTGAATTATTAAATTTAAATTTTGTAGTAGGGCTAAAGGAATCTAACCCAGAGTTTCACGAATGCATTGTAGCCACACTCCACCATTAAATTATATTCCTAGCACTAAAAAAATCTAAAGAACAGATGCCATTACAAAAAAATAATATTTAGAAAATATTGGCCAGATAATTGTGTGCTACACTGAGGATTCTAAACCCATTCCTGAAATCAACACTAAATAGACAGTATGAAAAAGTCTGTTTGTTCTTGCCTCATTCACCACAGGACAGAGGGTTTCTATAGGAGTAATGAGGGTAGCTCTGAAAAACACAATCACAAATCTATATTATAAAATATTAACAATACATACTAAAGGAAACAAAATCTGTCAAAACTGGCTGGTAGAGTCTGAGTTAAAAATGTTACAAAACTGCCAAGCAGGTAATGGTAGCATAGCATGAACCACATGCTTATGTGAAGACTTAGATCCCTTCCTGACTGGTTATTATAGGAGGCTATGCACATGGAGATTCACTGTGCCTAACTCTTACAAAAGTATTTAATACATGAAAATTGAAGTTACAATTGCCTTATTTTTATTTTATTTTTTGAGACAGGGTCTCAAAATGTAGCCTTGGCTGGCCTAGAACTCAGCTATCTGCCTGCTTCTACCTCCTGTGTGCTGGGATAAAGGCATGTGCTGCCACTCGCGGTACAACTGTCTTATTTTCAAAATGAGACTTCTGTCATTCAGTCTTCTTCCTCTTATTTGGGAAATTTGGCGAAAGGTATGATTTATTTCTCTTTAAAGATCATCACCCAAGGAAGAAATTGACAAAGATAAATCTTATGAATCAGAAAGTCTTTAAAACCACATCAGAAAACAGAAAAAAAAAATTGTGCTAATCTTTCACAGGCACAATGTCAGTGCTATTTAAAAATAAAACCTGACATCTACACCAATCAAGAATTTCTCAGTGTTCTGATATACATTTGTATCCACAACCTAAAATAATGTGGAGACTGGCTGTAACATTCACATTAATATATATACTCAGAAATCAGATTGAAAGGGACAAAGTCCAAGTCAACTGAATTCCATCCCAGTGTTTCAAGCCCCAGCTTTCTGCTGCCTTATACTACCTAGTACAATAAAAAGGGTTTAAAATTATCAGTTGCTATCTATAGAATGTACCATTTTCCTACATGGTGTATCTATAAAGTTAAAGATATGGTGTATAGCATTATTCTAACATTTAAGTATGCTTTAAGTATGCTCTGGAATAATCTTCAATCATTTCCAGGTATCTTCATTCCTCTAGTCTGTATCACTAACCACTCCAACCCGTATTTCTAGTCCTGGAATCAAATGTTGCCAGAGCCAGAACATTTATAAAGGTGAGATTTTGTTTAGTATTTGGATGCTATCTCCCATTTGATTTTCCTACTAACTCCCAGAATTATTAAGCTTTGTATTCTAGAAAGGTATTAAAATTTACAAAGCATTTCCTTGATTACTTAAGACTACAATACTTAAAATCTAGTGCCCTTAAAAATTTTACCATTACAAGTAGACACTCAACTTGGGGTTATCTCTGCTAACACAACAAAAGTTTTTTGTTTTGTTTTTTTCAAGACAGAGTTTCTCTGTGTAGCTTTGCGCCTTTCCTGGATCTCACTCTGTAGACCAGGCTGGCCTCAAACTCACAAAGATCCGCCTGCCTCTGTCTCCTGAGTGCTGAGATTAAAGGCATGCACCACCACCACCTGGCAACAGGTTTTTAAAAGAAAATACAAATCAGGATATTGCTTCTCTTGTAAATCTGGGATGAATTTAATGGCTTGCTGCCAAAATAAAGAGTTAACTTCTGTTTGTAGAAAAGCTGTAAAAAATAATTCCCTTCTTCCCTGTTTAGGTAGTATCTCCACATCTCTTCAATCTATAACTTAGTGGTTCTAGCCTCATTGTTTTCTTCCCCTTTTATTGAAAATATATTCTTTTCTTGTGTAACCTTTTTGCAGTTTCCCCTCCCTCTACTCCTCCCAGTTCCTCCCCCCTCCCATCTGGATCCACCCCCTTTCTGTCTCTCATTAGAAAAGAACAGGCTTCTAAGAGATAATAAAATATAACAAAAACCTTCATATTGTAGTTGGACAAGATAAACAGACAAGAGCCCAAGAGAAGGCACACGACTCAGAGACCCACTTGTTCACATACCCAGGAACCCCATAAAAAACACTAAACTGGAAGCCATAATATATAAACAGAGGACCTGATATAGACCCATGTAAGGCCTGTGCATTCTGTTCCAGTATCTGCAAGTTCATGAGCTTTGATTATGTTGATTTAGAGGGTCTTGTTTCTTTGGTGTCCTCTGTTCCCTCTGGCTCTTATACTCTTTCTATCTCCTCTTCTGCAGGGTTCCCTGAACTCTGAAGGGAGAGATTTGATGGAGATATGCCATTTAGGGATGAGTGTTACAAAGCTTCTCACTCTCTGCATAGTGTTTGAATATGGGTCTCTATGTTTCCATCTGCAGAAAGTTGCTTCTCTGATAATGGCTGAGCAAGGTACTGATCTGAGTATAGTAGAATAGTTTAGTCATTTTATCACTACAGTTTGTTGTTTAGAACAATAGTATTTAGTTTTATTCTAGGTCCCTGGGATATCTAGTATCTGATTCTTGGTCACCCCATCCATCCACAATTATCTATTCTATTTTCCTTTCTTAATTAGATCTGTAGCTTCTAGTCCCTTACACTATACCTACTTCTTGTAGTTGTTATCCTTATTTTTTTCATTCCAAAGATCAACCTCTAAGTGTCCACAGGTTAAGTAACTAATCCTATCAACAGTAAAGTATTTCTGGTAGGAAGGTGTCTTCAATTAAGACAAGAATTTCACATGACTTTGGGCAAGTCACTTACCAAGGCCTGTTTTTAGCCTTAAAAAATAGTTTGAGCAGCTGAGAGTTTTAGCACAATCATTATAACTTCTAAGGTAAGCTGACTTAAATAAATATATTTAAATGCTAACCTTTTTGTTTCAAGGTCTAATCTTACTTCTTTCATGTTTGAATTTATTTTCAAATCTTTGTTTGTGTGCATACATGGATGATGTGAGTGGGCATGAGTGCCATGGAGATCAGAAGACAACTCTGTGGAGTTGGTGTTCTCCTTCTACCTTTATGTGTTTGGAGGATGGGACTCAGGTTCTCACGCCGGTACACCAAGCAGTTTGCCTCACTTAGCCATCAGACCAGCCCTGACACTTCAGAGGAACTTTTCTATATTACTTTTTCTTTGTTGCTGTGACAAACTACTTGAACAAAGCAATTTTAGGAAGTTTTTATCCTTGTGCACAGCTAGATGGTACAGTCCATCACAGTAGGAGGGTCGTGGTGGCAGGAGCTTGAGGCAGCAGATTACATTGTACCCAGTCAGAAGGCTGAGTGAGCAGAAATGGGACGAGTTATTGTTGATTATTTTTTTGTTTTACTCTTTGCTCTGTTGGGGAGCAAATAATTACACAGAGACTTATTCTTTCTTATGAATGCCCTATCTTAGCTTGGCTTGTTTCTAGCCAGCTTTTCTTAAATTAGCTCATCTACCTTTTCCCTCTGGGCTTCTACCTTTTTCTATTTTTCTTTTTCTATTTGTTTTCTACTTATATCTGTATATCTTTTCTTTACTTCTTACTCTGTGTCTAGTTGTGTGACTGGCCCTAGGCACCTCTTCTCTTTTTTCTCCTCCCTTTCTCTTCACCTTCTATGTATTCTCTCTGCCTGGCAGCTCCACCTATCCCTCTCCTGCCTAGCTATTGGCCATTCAGCTCTTTATTAGACCAATCAGGTGACTTAGAAAGGCAAAGTAACACAGCCTCAGCCTCAGAGTCAAACAAATGTAACACATATTTGCATCATTGAACAAATCTTCAATATTCTACAACAGGCTATAAAATCTTTAGGCCACTCTTAGTGACCCACTTTTTCCAACATAGCTCTACCTCCTAACTGTTTCACAACCTTCTGAAACAAGCCACCAGCTGGGGACCAAGTGTTCAAACTTTTGCAAAGCCAGACAGCAGATATTTTGGATTTTCAGGCCACATACGACTTGTTGTTCATCAAATAGTTCAAGTAGTCCTACCAGCGTTCTCAGTATCGCTGTCTAGGTCACCAGCTCATTGAAGTTGGGCATATGGTAACACTGCCAGTTGCAGTTTATTACTGTAGAATATGATACCTTATACCAGCAAAGGGGACTATGACAAACCCAGAAAAGACCAGGTGCAATACTTAACATGTTTGTTCAGATAAATGTGTATAATTAATCATCCCAAAATGATGTAGGACATTACAGAACACGGTCAATCAGGAAGCTGTAGTTTGATGTTCCCCAAGTTTTAAAGTTCCCCTGGACTGTGTAACTCTACTCATGCTTGTGAGGTTACATCTTCAATGGCTTTGGCTTGGTCTATCCAGTTTCCTTGCATTATGCCATGCCCCATCTCTTGTGGTTAAACTCCCAAAGCACGTGGTAAGGTGCACAGCCCTTACATGCCCTGGGTCAGTGTAGATTTCACTTCAAGGTGTCATTTCCCTTTCCTTCTTTGTAATTGGTTGTGTACTTATCTGACATCTGAACCTGGAGCTATAAGACTATGTGGTCAGATAATCTGTTCATTTAGTTGGCCACACCACCCTCCTGAACACCAGCACCATAGTGCTCACACCAGTGCCAGGCCCATCCCACCAAATACCCACTTACCTTGATGTTCTTCTCTTCTAGGAAATTTTCTAAGCTGCAAGACACAGACCAAACTGCTGAGAGTGACAACGTCTAGGAAGAGAATTGTTTCTTGGCCTTCACAGCAGCCAATAGACAGCCATATGAAGCGTTGTGGCAAATGAGACAAGGCAGGGAGTTTCTGAAGACTGCCTTTGTGACAGGAGCAGTAAGCTTTCTGGCTCCATATCTTTCTTAAAGATATAATGATAGTAACAACCAAAGCTAGCTTAGCAACTCTATGTAAGAGTTAAAAAAAAAAATGCCCTGTTCAAGCTACTGTTTGGGGATTCAATTGCTAACTGCTAATTGGCAAAACGGATCAAAATGAAAACACAAAACAAGGTCGGAAGAAAATGTTTATTTAGTAAAATGATATGGAGTCTGTAGGAATCATGCAGAGGATTTTTAAGAAGTTTTTTGAAAATACAGTCATTAAGAAATCATTTGAACAAAACTCCTGTAAGTAATAAACGTGTATATTACATAACCACAAATTTAAAAGCATGTAATGGTTGATTTTGATTCAGGAGTCATTGTTTCCCCACATCCACCTCTCATAGAGAAAATTAAATCACAAGATTCTGATGGCTTCTAAGGTTTTCCATACATTTCTCAAGTTTTCAGTGACTCAACTGCACAGGCATAAAGAGAGCACTGCTATCTTCTGTAATTATCTAAACTTAATTTTCAGATACACCATTTGTGTACAATCAATGTCTGCTACTATTTTTTGCACCAAGAGCATGATGGGAGAAAAATGGCTTGGTGGCCAGTTAGTATTTTAGCTGTTTTCTAGGTATACACAAAGATACCAAATATTTTAAAGGCTACAATTGGGTGTATGTGGTAAAATAAGTTGACTTTTCTCAGGCTTTAATGCATTAAATGAAACAAGATCCACTCAAGAACTATTTGAACATCTCCTATTCTTCAGACACAGTTAATATTATATGAACATTATCTCATGTGAATCATTCCTATCAAATAGGTATAAACCTTACTTTGTAGATCAAATAGGTAACATAGCTTGATTATAGCATAGTTACAAAATAGCAATAGCAGACCATCCTATGAATCTATAACTTTTAATTCCAACACTGATATTTTTATGGTATCATTAATGCTGCTTTCATACGATTTTTGGATAAGAGCACTTTTTAATTCACACTGTATGTGGACTGTTTTCTTTACTTAGCATTTTATTATTTTAATTTTTATTATTTGGAGAAAATGTATGATGAATGAAATGATAGTAAAATGATTCAAGAACATGATTTTTCTATTTTTTTAAAGGAAATTTCTGTTGTAACCTTTGTTCCAGGGTTACCTTTTATTAAGAAAGGGAACAGGGGGGCTGGAGAGATGGCTCAGTGTTTAAGAGTACTGGGTGCTCTTCCAGAAGACAAGGGTTCAATTCCCAGCACCCACATGTGACTCACAACCATCTGTAAGTCTTATTCCAGGGGATTAATTTGATACCTTTTCTTCAGGCCTTCCCTGAGAACCAGATACTAATGAGGTACACAGACCTATATGCATGCAAAATACCCATCCATGCACATAGAAGGAAAGGAATGAAGGACAGAATGAAGGGAGGGAGGGAGACTCAATGCTGGCCATTATTATGCATATAGACTTATTAACAACACCAAATTAGTACTGGCGAATATAGACACACGTGATACAAAGAAAAGGTCAACTTTACCGAGGAGGTCCAAATCAAGCTACTATTAAAACATAAGCTGAGTTTTGAATGCAGCCTTTCCTGGGTGCTTAATGGGGTTGTATGCTATGTAATTTAACTGATTTACATAATCGAATAATCACTACATTTTAGAAGACAAGTAACTCTACTTTACAAATGAGCCCAGGCATTTAACCTAGAACTCACCCTGTTGAATGTGACAGATAAATACATATTAAGTAACTGGATGGAGTCACAGGAAAACAAACAAACAGAAAACTTTCATTTACATACAAGGAACACAAGGTCAGATATATTTACATTTTGCAAAGGTCACTTAGTGAAGACAGAGTGTGGCGATATTTTCTTTGTGCACTCCAATAAAGCTTATCTGAGGATCAGAGGGAAAAAAAGCCAGCCACTATATTAAACATAGAAGTGGGGCAAGGGTAGCAAACACCCTTAATCCTAGCATTCAGAGGCAGAGATTCATCTGGATCTCTGAGTTCAAGGCCACATTGGGAACAAAGCCAGGCATGGTGTCACACGCCTTTAAATTCCAAAACTAGCTAACCATAAAGGTATGGAGGTCTGTACAGACACACAGAAAGTGACAGAGCTGGGCAGAAAAAGGAAATGATGTAGCTGGCAGAGAGAGGAAGTGAGATGGCAGGGACAGAAAGGATATAGGCATGAGTATATAGGAAGTGGCTCTCTCTTGGGCCAAGGATTTCCTAGGATAAGAACTTATGGCTGTGGCTTGTTCTGTTCCTCTGATCTCTCAGCCTTCACCCCAATATCTGGCTCCGGGTTTTTTTTTTTATTAATAAGACCGTTTAGCAATTCGTCTTACAAAAGAGATTTAATTTAATCTACTCCAGGCCCATCTGTTGAATGATTGCTTTGTCCTAAAAATGTTATTCTCGTTTTTAACTCTTTCAAACTCATTAGCACTAAATTAAAAGCTATTTTGAATCAAATACCAGTTTATAGTCATTGAATGATGGCAGCACAGAGATACACAATTTAACACAATTAGCTACTATTTAAAATAAGATATTTACTATAAATATGTGGTTTATAGACAGTGTTCTGGAAAAATTTAACTGGTAAAACAAGTTGGCCAACTTCTAGGAATACTGCTCCTTAAACACAACCTGTTAGACATGGAAATAAACACAAGAGATTAACTCAAATCCCAGGATATCCAACATGGCTTAGCAAAGACTTCTCTAACAAAATCAGCCTGGGTATCTCCAAAGTACATCTAACCTTCATACTTACTGTTCCAAAATCCCAGTATGGCCTGGTCCACATTGTGGTATCTAGGCATTCTAGGAAGTCTTTTCTAATGTCAGTCCTTGGGATTGTTCTGAGCTGCCTATGATATGTTTATAATCATATTTTACACATAACTAAACAAAATACACACCACTGATATTATTTGCCCAGTTTGAAGCTAAAGATGTGCATTTATCTCAAAACCTTTTTGACTTTCTTAGGATCATAACATTATTTAAAATTTAAAAACATACCTTAAAGTTCAGTTAGCACTTTTAGGTGCTGGCTAGGATACATGTTAATGTTTGGAGACAGATACTGAGGGAGCCCATGGGAGAAAAAGGCATTTACTGAGCACCTATGTTGCCAACATTGTATGGTTTCTTCACTTAGTGCTCTTATCTAATCTTTAGTCCTCATACCAACCAGATAGTTTCACTGTTTTCCTTTTGTTTGTACTGAGATAGAGGTTGAACAATTTGTTCAAGGTCACCCAGATGTCAGGCTATGGAACCCAGATTAGATCAGGGCTCTAATTCCCAAGAGTATGTTTTTAACACTGAAATACTGGGTATTCATACCCGTTGAAAACCCTTAGAAACTCTTCAGTACTGAGTGGCTGCGTATGCTAGCAAGATGACTGGTGCCCAGAGCTTCTATCTAGCTTCAGGATGGGCATAGTCACCAGAAAGTCTAAGGTACGATTAGAGACTTTCAGCCTATCCACCAACTTGCAAGGTCACCAGTGGCCAATAATGTAGTCAATTAAGTCCTGTGTAAGGAAGTCTCCACAAACTCAGTAGGACAGGGTTTGGATGAGTTCCCAACAGCTAAATATGTAAAGGCTCCTGGAGGGTGGCAAGATTGGTAGCTCTCTGTTCTTTACAATGTATCCTATGTATCTTTAGTACTTGGCTATTCATCTGTAGCTTTTGCAATCCTTTATAATGAGTCAAGGTGAGTAAAACTTTGCTGATTCCTCCAAAGCCATTTGGCACAGTAATCACGTGAGGAGGGGTTGTAAGAATACTCATCCTCAGTTTACAGATGGTTCATCAGAAGTACAGGTCACACACATGCTTACAATTACCATCTGATGTGGGTGCAGTTTTGTGGTACCTAACCCATAACCTGTGGGATCTAAAATAGGTAGGTCTCAAAACTCAATGAAATTGGGAGAATACCCAGTTGGTATCCACTGTGGAATCTTCTTGTTAAGAATTTCTTTGACTATGGGTAGGAATAAACTGCCACATATAAGTGTTGTAAGGAATGTAAAAGAAGGAAAAAGTACTTCTTTCCTTTTCCTAGATGGCTAGTAATATTCCTTCCATTTCACTGAGCACCCTGCTCAAGAACCTGTGCTTTTAACATCTGTCAACTGATTAATTGTGGTGCAGATGGCATTTAAGACAAATGAAAAACATAGGAAAACATTTACAATTCAGTTTGGCAATACAAATGAACAGTAGGCAATCATTCTTGACAACTGTTTCTACTTTAGGTACAATTACTATGACACATGAAGATTCTTCATATCTCAATAAATACATAGGCACAAGTATATTTCACTTAATGTTACAGGTTACTCTAATATTAATTTCTATGTTCAATGTTTATTAATCTTATAATAGAGACTTCCAAGTATGTAATCATAAGACTATCATATTTGGCAATACAGATTGATCATTTCTTAAAAACAGATATGGAGAAGGGTATCTTAAGATATTACATTTGGAACTCAAACTCTATCATTTATTCACACTCATACTTATAGCCGCAAATAACCCAGTATTTTGACCAATACTGACTATGATATGAACTATAATAGGAGATTTGTACATTTGTGTATATATTACTGACTACACAGGAGGTAATTTTAAATAAGTGCTTGTTAAATATAAACTAAGATTCCTAAAACAAAAATTTTTAGATAATCTATAGCAGTGGTTCTCAACATTCCTAATGTTGCAACCCTTCAATATAGTTCCTCATGTTGTGGTGACCCCATCTTAGTTTGGGTTTTTATTACTGTGAAGAGACACCATGACACAGCAACTCTTATTAAAAAAAAAAACAAACATTTAATTGGGATGGCTCTCTTACAGTTCAGGGGTTCAGTCTATTATCATGATGACAGGAATCATGACGGCATGCAGGCAGATGTGGTGCTGGAGTTGCTGAGAGCTCTACATCTTGCAGGCAACAGGAAGTCGACTGACAAGTCACACTGAGGAAGCTTGAGCAAAAGAGACCTCAAAGCCTGCCCCAACAGTGACACACTTCCTCCAATAAGGCCACACCTCCTAATAGTGCCACTCCCTTTGGGGGCCATTTTCTTTCAAACCAGCACACTGCCAACCATAAAATTATTTTTATTGCTACTTCATAACTGTAGCTTTGTTAGCTATGAATTGTAATGTAAATATCCGAAAAAAAATGATATCTGATATGCAACCCCCATGAAAGGGTCGTTTGACCCCCAGAGGGTTTGCAACCCACAAGTTGAGTGTCACTGATCTATAGGATGAGGAATGCTTCTAATGCTCAAATTACTGGGCTACATAAGGCAACTGTAAATGTTTAGGCATTTTACTTTTAGAAAACAAACAACCTCCCTCCGCAACAAGAATATCAAAATTACCCTTACAAAAGTACCAGCTCACTTTCACCTAGAGGAATTACAAGTTCTTATGAAATCTGCATAAAGATCAAGTGACAATAGAACTTTCTCAAGCTAGTTTAAAAAGCAAAACAGCCTAAATACTTTTTGGACAGGAAGGACAAATGCTGAACAGTCTTCAAAGAACCATTCTGAAGTAAGAACTCAAGGAAGAACTTTGCAACTAGTTATGACTGTACATGGACAATCTCCAGATAGATAAGCAGCTGAACAGGTTCTCCAGCTAAGATGCTGATTCACGGAATTGTTTTATACAGCCTCATAGATAAAATGTATATTAAATTACAAAAATACCTGAGACTTGTTCTTTTTCATAAAATTAAGGGACATTATGGATGAAATAAAAATAACTTGGTATCTAGACATAAAAAATCTTAAATAGGAAATTGCTCTTGGATTCATCATACACTGGCAGCTTTGTGAAGAATTAAAACTAAAAA